TTTTTTCTTTTTTGTTTTGTTTTGTTTGTTTGAGACAGTGTTTTTCTCTGTAGCTTTGGAACACGTCCTGGCACTCACTCTGTAGACCAGGTTGACTTCAGACTAACAGAGATCCGCCTGCCTCTTCCTCCCAAGTGCTGAAATTAAAGGAATGTGTCACTACCACCTGGCTCTGGTATCCTCTTCTAAATTCTGCAGGCATCTGCATCTGTGTGCACAGACACATACATAGTCTCTCACACACATAATTTTAAAATAATGAAAAACATTTTTAGCCGGGCAGTGATGCTGCACGCCTTTAATCCCAGCACTCAGGAGGCAGAGGCAGGCGGATCTCTATGAGTTCCAGGCCAGCCTGGGCTATAAGACCTATTTCCAGGACAGACTCTAAAAGCTACAGAGAAACGTTGTCTCAAAAAAACAAAACATTAAAAAGAACCCAGAAAGCAGTTGATCAGTGCAGCATGGGTGAAGGGTGAACCTTGCTAGAAACATCTCGGATTCAGTATATGTTTGATTTTGATTTATTTGTTGCACGCTTAGAAACCCATAGTGGCTACCAAATTTTTCATGGTCTACTCTTCCCATTTCAGTTATGTGACCCCATAGAGGATGGCAACTCCCAGTCTGAGAAAGGTGGCTCAGGACTAAGAGCACTTACTGCTTGTAACTCCCACTTCAAGGAATTTGGTTCCCTCTTCTGACCTCCATGAGCACTGTTCATGCATATGGTGCATATACATATAGATACAGGCAAGACACTCATAAATAAAGTGTCTAGAATAATAATACATGTAATATAATGTTATCATAAACCTGTCTATGCAGGCAAGACACTCATACACATAAGCATGGTGGTGCATACCTTTAATCTCAGCACTTAGAGGCAGAGGAGTTTGAGGCCAGCCCGATCTACATAGTGAGTTCTAGGTCAACCAGGGTTATGTATAGGGACCTTGTCTCAAAGAAAAAAGAGGGGAACTACTATTTTTTTTTTTCTTGGTCTCGACATTCTACCCTCATATTGCTAGTGCCTTATATCATGAGTCCCTAAATCCATAAGGTTCACTGTGCTGGGGAGATGACTTAGTGAAGTGCTCACTACATGGACATAAGAACCTGAAAACTGACACTGGAGCTTCTCTCTGTAATCCCAGTGCTAGGAGGCAGACTCGAGAATCCCCTAGACTCTCTGGCAAGCCCACCTATCTGAACTGGAGTTCCCAGTTCAATGAGGGTCATTCTCAAAAGTAAGACAGAGATTGAGGAAGACATCTAACTGACACTGACCTAGCCTGCTACCTGCCTGAGTATACATGTGCATCTTAACACACATACACACGTGAGCACACACAAAGACAAGTAAGGCTTTTGTGTATTGGGCATCTCAGTTAATGAAAGTATTCAGTACATTTTAGGTACTTTATATGAATCTGTTGAGTAGATGGGGAAATAAATGAGTGAATACTACTGAGGTCCTTCCCCAGGATGAATACTAGCAAAGGGGAGAGGGTTTGAAGATAATAGCTCATTTTTTTCTTTGTGTCGGGATAGGTACATTGAGGAATGCATAAGGGCCAGAGGAGATGGCCTGTGTTTTCTGTCACTTCACCTATTTCTTCAAGACAAGGTCTCTCACTAAACCTAAAGCTAGACTTGTAGCCAGCAATCCTGTCTGCCCCCTCACCACCACCCACACAGTGCTAAGGTTACAGGCACATGCTTAACTCTGGCTTTTTTTATGTGGGTGCTAGGGGTAACTCAGATGCCCTTACCCACTGAGCTATCTTCCAACCCCTGTGAGCCAATTTTTGTGTGTTAGGCTTTGAAATGCTTTTGAGTTTGAGGTATACAAGAGAAGGTTCTGGGGAGCAGGTGAAAGGGTAGATCTAGATGAGTAGAGGTGGATTTCTGCAGTACGCCTGGAACAGATAGGAGAGTGGAGGAGAGCAATGAAGACCTATGTGCAGTGGTACTAAGGCTGTCGGAGTGTAGGAAATAGGTGGGCATGTCCAGAGACAGCTGCCAAATCGACAGGAATATCATCGGCCTGGTGGAATCAGTAACTAACCAAACTTCGTGTGTGTACTAGGTGGACCTAAGGGAGAAAAGCCATAAGATTTGGCCCTAAAGTAGGAGGGGCTACCCTGTGGTCAAAGATGCCACTGTTCTGCAAGCCAAGACAGGAAGGGATTTGAAATTGTTTCATTGTTAAAGAGTAGCAGTTCTCAAGCCTGGTGTTGGTGATACATAGCTTTAATACCAGCACTTGGGAGGCAGAGACAGGTGAATCTCCCCAGTTTGAGCTCAGACTGGTCTACATAGTGAGTTCCAGTACAACCAAGGCAACACAGAGAAACCCTGTCTTAGGAAAAGAAAAAGAAACAGTAGCAGCTCTGGAGAGAACTAAAAGTATATGGGCTTGAAAGAACTGACCGGTAAGGTAGCTCAACAGGTAAAAGGTGTTTGTGCTAGCTGCATGATGCTGTGAGCCTGATGGCCCGTGTTCTAGTCCCTGGGAACCCATGTAAAGGTGGAAGGACAGAAGATTCCACCACACCTGTGCTGGTGGTGGTATGGCTATACACATAGCACAATAATAAACAATTTTAAATAAAATTTGAAAAAACGTTATCAAGGGTCTGAGGTGGTGCTCAGTGGTAGAGCAAATGTCTAGCACAGACAAACCATAGTGGATTCGGTCCCTGCGCTGAATAATCAAATATCATAGAGCTTTTTTATAAGAGGGAAAAGCATTCTGAGGATAAAATACAGAACACTTCCAGTAGGTTAATGTTCAGATGCTGGGATGCTAGCCATGTTGTACAGAATGGCGTTTTTCCCACCTTGAGACAGGGTGTAACTGTAGACAGGCTAATCTTGAACGCAGAGACTATCCTGCCTCTCTGCTTTTCAAATTCTGGGATTAAATGTGTGTGCCACCAGGCATGGCCAGAACTACATTGTCCCTGTATATACTTTTACTCTCAACAAAAGCATAAACCCTGACTTCTGGAGTCTTTGGCTTTTGTAGAATCTGCAAAACAAGCTGGGCGGTGGTGGCGCACGCCTTTAATCCCAGCACTCTGGAGGCAGAGGCAGGCGGATTTCTGTGAGTTCGAGACCATCCTGGTCTACAAGAGCTAGTTCCAGGACAGGCTCCAAAACCACAGAGAAACCCTGTCTCGAAAAACCAAAAAAAAAAAAAAAAAAAAAAAAGAATCTGCAAAACAGCTTCACATTTACTCTTCAAAAAAAAAATTTTTTTTCCTGTTGGAAGGAAGGAACTTTTCCTTCCAGTTCCAGGGGATCTGACTCCCTCTTCTGACTTATTTGGGGGCCCTAGGCACACACATGGTGCACATACATATATGCAATCAGAACACTTCTATACATAAAATAAATCCCAAAAGGAGACTATGATTGGCCTTTCACCCTTTAAAAAACAAAAGATTTATTTATTTAATGTATGTGAGTACTTTGTGGACTTTATATCAGAATAGAGCATCAGATCCCATTATGAATGGTTGTGAACCACCATGTATGTACTGGTAATTGAACTTAAGACCTCTGGAAGAGCAGCCAGTACTTTTAACTGCTGAGCCATCTCTCCAGCCCCGCCCGACCTTTCACCTTCTATAGGTATTTTTGCATAGATTCTGTTTTCCTTTGGACACATTAGTTTGTAACACACGTACAAGCTTTGGTGTGTGTTTGTTTTTGAGATAGGGTCTCACAGTGTTTCCCTGGCTGGTTTTGTTGTTGTTATTGTTGTTTGGTTGGTTGGTTTTTTGATATCTATCTATCTATCTATCTATCTATCTATCTATCTATCTATCTATCTATCTATCTATCATCTATCTTAAAAGACAGGGTTTCTCTAGCCCTGTCTGCCCTGGAATTCACTCTGTAGAACAGGCTGGCTTAAAACTTAGTTCCACTTGCTTCTGCCTCACCAATGCTGTGATTAAAGGTGTGCACTACCAAGGTTTTTTTGTTTTGTTTTGCTTTTAAAGACAGTGTTTCAGTATGTAGCCAAAGCTAGACTGAAACTCACTCCTTCCTGCGGCAGTCTCTTCTGTGCTGGCAATACAAATGTTACCACACATGTCTACAAAGTCTGTGAATTGTTTTCTTGGCTCTTCTGTTCTGCCATTACCCTATGCTCTTTACTGTGATGGCTGGTGATGCTGGTTCTCAGTTGTGTATGGATGTAGCCTTACCAGAGAAAGATTTGCTGCAAATCTGAATCTCCTGTTGTCTTTAAAGAAGAACCAAAGGCTTCTGCTTTACTTTGCTCTGCTTTGTGCAAAGTAGCTGGTGATTTGTTAATGGATTGTTTGGTGCTGTGTAAATAAATGTGTTGTATCTAAAGTTAACTGTTGGGGCTACCAGATCACTCATGTCTGGCATCTTTCTAGGTTGGCTCTGGGTTCAATCCCTAGTACTGCACATAATAAAATGAACTAGAAGCTAACTGTTGATTTTCAGTTTTTTTAATTTTTGTTTTATGTGTATGAGTGTTCTGCTTGTATGTATGTGCACATGCAGTGGGTGCCTGGTGCCCAAGGAGACCAGAAGAGGGTAGTGAATCCCCTGGAACTGGAGTTAAGGGTAGTTATTTGCCTCTTTTGGAATGCTGAGAACTTAAGTCCTCTGTAAGAGCAACAAGTGCTCTTATAACCACTGAACCATCTCTCCAGTTGTTTTTATATAGGATTTATTAGTTTCTCAAAAAGCAAAATAAAAAAAGAAACACTCAGTGATTTAGGCTTTTCTTAGAAATAAGAAAATTCATCATCTTTGCATGCCCTCTCCCTCCCCTCAGTCACCAGTGTATCTGCATGTTCTGGACATGTAGACTCAGCTGCTTAGGGTCAGTAGTGCTCTGGAGCCAGGCTTGGTGGCACAAGCTTGTGATGTTAACAGTTTGGAGGCTGAAGCAGAGGAGCTTAAGTTTTAGGATGGTTGGCTACATAGACAGATTGTGTGTGGCGCTGGGGGGGGGGGTGCAGCTGCACTGAACAAGTACCGACTCGTTTCTTGTCCTTGGTCCCTAGACAGTACAGCATACCATTTATGTAGTATTTGCATCGTATCTGGTGTAAGTCATTCAGAGACTTGTGTGTGCAGGTTCTAAGGAAATAATTGATATAAAGGACTTGAGGGTCTATGAATGTTATCACCCTGAGGAGGGAGGGCTATGCCAGGTTTCTCTTCTGGGAGTCTGCGTTCTGTCTCTGTAGAACAGGAGTTGTGTCATAAATCAGTCTGTACACTTGTTAGTTTCTGTGGATGAGAGTGTGCCACAGGTGTAGCTGGCCAAGTGCAGGTGCACAGCACCACCACCCTTGTGCATGACCTGTCAGCAGTGTAGGCAGGGACTCTCCAAAGGGAGCATAAACAAACCCTATCTGAGGGTAGGTTAGGGCGCAGGGGACAAGAGGAAGCAAGTCAAGCCAGCCTGGTTTGCCTTATCCCCCCCCCCCCTTCCCTCCTTTCAAACCCTGATTTGTCTCAGGGTCCATACACCCTTGGGATGGTTTATTCTTGCCTACTTGGAAGGCCAGCAGTGCTTTGGGCCCAGACTCCTTAAGTCTGGATCTCATATTGTTATGAGATAAGATCTTGCTGGGTGAGTAGTCTGGGCAGTCCTGAAACTGCCATCTTTCTGCCTTCTCCGTCCCAGGCATGGGCTGAGTTGGAAAGTGGTCCTACCTACCAAGTTTCCAATGTTTGCTGCAAATCTCCAGGGTCTTGAAATTTTGGATTGGGGGTTTCAGAGCAGAATTTTAAGTGGCACTGTCCATAGGATTTAACTTTTGTATTGCACTCTATTGTATGTGTTGCCAAGGTGTCTGTGTGGATGTTATCAGAGGACAACTCGGAGTGGGATCTCTCTTTTTGCTACATGGATTCTGGGAATCAAACTTGGGTCTTGTTGAGCTATCTTGCCAGGCCTGCTATTCCTTTCCTTTCCTTTTTAATTAAATTCGTCTGTGTACGCACATAAGCATGGTGGGTGGTGTGTCCTCTTAGGCTAGAAGCCAGAAAGCGGTAGGATCCTCCCGTCTTGGAGCCAGGGTTACAGACATTTGCCAGGATGCCATCTTGTTATGTGGGTGCTCGTGATTGGAACAAGATCTTAACTGGTGACTGTTCTTCTGTCTTCTGGTTTTTACTTTTAAAAAATAGGAATGAATGCCGGGTGATGGTGGCGCACGCCTTTAATCCCAGCACTCGAGAGGCAGAGGCAGGCGGATCTCTGTGAGTTCGAGACCAGCCTGGTCTACAGAGCTAGTGCCAGGACAGGCTCCAAAGCCACAGAGAAACCCTGTCTCGAAAAACCAAAAAAAAAAAAAAATAGGAATGATTATTTGGTTAGTAGAATCCAACTTAAAAACACTCAAACTAGGGCTGGAGAGATGGCTCAGTGGTTAAGAGCGTTGCCTGCTCTTCCAAAGGTCCTGCGTTCAATTCCCAGCAACCACATAATGAGGTCTGGTGCCCTCTTCTGGCCTGCAGGCATACACACAAACAGAATATTGTATACATAATAAGTAAATAAATATTAAAAAAAAAAACACTCAAACTACAGATGTTTTTCACCAAGGACTTACTGGAAATGACAGGAACAGTGAGCTGATAGTGTAGATGGTCACTCCGGCACAGCTCCCCGAGCACACTGCAGGGTGGTCCACTGGGGCTGAGTTCCTGCTTCTCTCCTGTTCTGTGATATCTGGGCCTTTGCTGTGGCCTGTGATGTGAGTGCCCCCATTCTGCCGCTTGCACAGGCTCACACTGGATTCAACCCTGTCTGGTTCTGTGTCGTGTCTGAGGGTAGAAGCCTCCTTCAACTCAAGGGCAGAGTTGAGAAACCAGAGTAGACTCTTTGACAAGAGTCAGAAAAGTGGTCTTGAAGGATCCCAGCTTCCTACTTCACTGGAATTCCCAGGAGTTAGCATGTAACCTTGAAACTGTTAGAAAACAAACCTACTTAAGTCCTGGGCTTCTGGATGGGGCATTGGAGCGCTCCGCAGTGTGGGTGAGGCTTTACTAGACAAGGACACATCTTGGTTCTTCGAGAGGGCAGAAGACTCTGACTTCCAAGCGACGTGCCTGTGTGCAAACGTAAATTTAAAACTAGCTGTATAGACCCTGGTGTTCACTGCTCTCAGGACGAGCGGCTAGTGTTCATGGTCCTGCGAGGGAATAACGACCTACCTCCGCTTTCCTGAAGTATTTCGGGTACAGTGAAGGAATGTCACTCTAGTTAGCACTAGGGGAAAATACGTAATGTTGGGCTGGGGGTCCGACCCTCGTATTCACGTACACCCAGGCATTGAGAACTAATTCCAGGAAGGAACGGTCACGGGGCAGTGGTGCTTCTAGTACAGAAGTGAAGCGGGTCAAGTCCTAGGGAATTCCTGCTGGGCGGACGCCGCTCCCTGCCCTGCACACACCCTGCCAGAGGCCAAGTGAGCCGTGCCCCTGCGGAAGGACTTTGGGGTCTTTTCTTCCTGGCTCCGCCCCCAACGGAATCGGACGCAGGTTCACCCCAAGCACCCATCCCCGCTGGCGCAGTGAGCTTTTACAGCTTTTGAAATGCTCGGCGAGTACTGCCTCAGGATAGCCCGAGGAATCTCTCGGTGGCTTTGGATCCCAGTTTAGCCCCTTGGTTCGAGACGCGGGAAAATGTCTAGCGTGTCTAGGACACAGGACCAGGCGGGCGCTCCCGGGAACCTGGGTAGCAGCAGTGGCGCATGCGTGCGGTCAGGACGGCATAGGCACTCTATCCTCGCGGCGTCTCGGTGGCCGGTTGATTTCTTCCGCTTGCTGTGCGGCTTGCCGCTCTAGGCCGGCAGTCTCGCTGGCCTCCTCCGCTCTAGTTCCGCGGCTGCTCTGGAAATGGCTGCGGGACCCCGGCGGCCGCGGTAAGTGGCTCTGTGCAACGAAGGAGGGTGGGAGCCGTGTGAACCCGGACGGCACTTGGAATCGGGACTAGTCGGAGCGGCCTCTTGCCCGCAGCCCAATTCCTGCGAGCGGCATTACCGCGCCGAGAAAATGGCGTCGCGGCCCGCGGGGCCCTTTCCGGCCCCTGACAGAGGAGTCGCAGAGGAGCGCGCGAGGCCGGCCGGGCGGTCTGCGTCTGGTTGAATTGTGTGGTCCAGACCGGTCCGGGCCTCGGAGGCTGTGGAGCCCATGAGTGCGAGTCGGAGTTGCGGGCCCGCCCGCCCGCGGCCGCAGGTCCTCGGCACTATGGTCGAGCACTGTGTGAGACGGGGACGGAACTGGGCCTGGACGCGCGTCCGCGGGTGTGCGGGCCGGTGAGGGGTGCTTTGAGGAAGATTTAGTCCCGGTCTCGTGTGTGACTTAGCGCCTGGGCGTTGCCCCCCCCCCCCCGCATTACCTCGTACCGATATTGGTGGCCAGGTGCGTGTTAATGTAGATGGATCTTAAGTGACTGAGTAAAAGACCCTGGTTTTGATTGGGAGTGTATGTTTAATTTTCCACAAAAAGGTTTCTTATTATATCAGCTGGAGATTCTGTCAGGCAAACTCAGTTGTGTACAGAAGAGAAACAGCACACAAAAAAGGTTGTGCAACTGATTGCCCCTGCCAGCACCCATGACCAGCACTTTCCTCCTGGCATTCAGGGCGTGAGTAGCATCACAATGGCTTGCTGAGACTTTGTGCTAGGGGGCTGAGGGAGGCCCAGGTCGGTCTTGAAGGTGAGGTGGCATGTCTTCCTGTGAGGCAGTTCATTCGCCGGAGTTTTCTATTGCCATTAAAGCTCTCTGGGCCTCTGGAAGGTACTGCCTTAATAGGCTAGAGTCTTAATTCCTCAGTCAGTGGTGAGCAGCTCAAGGAATGACTTCTCAGTGTGTAGGTGCTGTGCCAGGCTTTACACATCTGTCAGCAGGACTTGTCTTACCGTGTTATACACCTGTACGACAATGTCAGATGTCCATATGTAAACCAGCCTGTTTCACCTTGCTCTTAGATCCCTGCACAGTGTCCCATGTCTTAGGATCAGTTTCTCATGCTCAAGTCTCAATTAATAAATTGTCCCGAAACAGAGTCTCTTTTGAATCTTAATTAGATGACTGGGTCCTATGTAGACAAAAGCCCATTAGTTTCTATGATTGTATCAAATGATGTGTGTTGGTTCAGTTACGAAGGTTATATGATTAACAGACAGTGATACAGTGCTCTTAGGAAAGAGGTCAAAGCCCAAAGTCTAAGTTGTCCTTTTTTGATCTGAGTGTGCAAGCTCACCTGTGAGACAGACCTTATTGACCAGACTTTAGTTTATTTTCTGAGCAGTCATTTCGAGAAGTTGATAGGGGAGGTGAGTAGGCAGTTGAGGCTGGAGAGGTGGGTCAACTATTAGGAGCTCCTGTTTCTCTTCTAGGGGGCCAGAGCTGGGTTCCCAAGCATCTGTGTCATCTGGAGGACTCACAACTACCTGTAACCCCAGTTCCAGGAAATCCTATGCCCTCTTAGAAGAATGATTCTGCGCTTGTTTCTATACAATCTATCCCTAGGAGTTGATAATTCTGCACTGTTTGTAGGGCGTATACTTCTTTCTGTGGGTCAGAGTGCTAGGGGTATGTTTTTCATGTGCTAATAAAACTGAAGTGGTATGTAATACAATATACCATGAAGGGTACGCCAGTTTCTTCCAAAATGAAGGTGGCTTTATTGTGCATGGGTTAGGAGGTGTAATACTTCAGAGTGGGCTAGAGAGATGGCTCAGGTGTTAGGAGCATGTGTGCTTTACAGAGTTCATTTCCCAGTACCCATGCCAGGCAGCTCGCAGCAGCATATAACGCCAGCTTCAGGGATCTGACACATCTGGCCTCCATGGGCACCTGCACTTGTGCCCATACAAATGCACATATACAAAATTTAAAACAAAAATAAGTAATTTTCAGAATAATTTGTTTTATGCATGGGTGTTTTGTCTGAATGTGTGTCTCTGTGCCACCTGTCCCTGGTGCCCTCAGATGTCAAGAAAAGGGTAACTAATGCCCTGGAACTGGAGTTACAGGTGGTTATAAGTTGTTATGTGGGTGCTGGTTATCAAACACTGGTTCTCTGGAACAGCATTCAGCAATCATTCATCTCTCCGGCCTCATAAAAATTTTAAGGATAATATTTATATAGAAAAATCGTAAAACAGTACAGAAAAAGTGGAAACACTGCGAGTAGCTTATGTTAAAGCTGTTTGTGTGTTCAGAAGTGCGGCTGTTTGCTGGTGCTCTTCCCCAGTGCTGTGGAGACCCGCTCAGTGGCACTTTCCATGTCTTGAAATTTCAAATTAGTTACCTCTTGTGACCACAGGGCTGTGTGTACTCTTACATTAGTTTACTGAGTTAAATGGAGGCAGACTCCCAGCATGAGCATAGGCATGATAATACTGCTTTGGTGCTCTTGGCTAAATACCTCCCTACATCCTTCAGGAAACGTGGACACTTGTCATTTGGTAGGTGACGTTGACCATCTCTTGCACATTTGCCAAGTGGGGTGCTGACCTGGTAGGACTTCAGAAAGGATTTTAGGAAACTTGAGATCTGTGTTGACCCCACTTCAGGAAGGAGGTGGTAACAGCCCAGTGCAAAGTCCACAATTTGCAGCCAAGTTCCTTTTCACACTTGGTTATTCCTGAGCCTCTACCCCACCCACACTTAGCTAACCCTAACCCCCAAATGTCTTACAAGGGAATCATTCTCTAACTGTTGAGGATAAAAAGTACTGGCTATTGGGATAGGAGCAGGAATTGGGAGCCTATATCTAGAGAGCTATCCCCTGAGAAGCCTGATAGCCAGGGACTGTCAGGATTTGTTAGATTGTAACTTAAGAAAGTCATGTATCTTTGAATTGGTAGAGCCTTCTTTTTATCTGTTTTTACTTGTGCTAATGTTGAGTGAGTACTGGCTGTTGCTCTTAACTGGCTTGAATGGAGTTCAGCTGTGCATGGATCTGCACAAGACAATACAGGAAACTCTGCTTTATCAGTGCCAGACTTCAATATCCTTCCCCCCCCCCCCATAAAACCAAAGGGAAGAAAACCCCATGCATTGTTTCCCCCTAGTCTCAGGAGGAAAGGAAGATTCCAGCAGGAGTTTCCCAAGCCTTACCGCCTCCTCAGCATAATAACAGAACCTCAGCGAGGAGGGAAAGAGGTGGAATCAGATTGGATGTAGTTACTGTCCTTGTGAATCCTGGCTAGATAGAAAGGGTGCTTTCTATGGGTAGCAGCCAGTGTGGGGGCTCTGTGCTCAGCCCAGACTCCAGGGTCTTTACACTAAAGAACTTTTGATTTAGGCTTTGTTGATCCTGATTGTTTGATTTTACAACTGATACATTTAAACATTTTAGTCATTTTAAAATCCTTAAACTCACCTGCCTTTATGCTAATAAATATATCGTGGAACTGATTTCTGAGTCTAAGACCACTTCATGAGAAAAGTAAAGATTATGCTTTTTGTAAATTGTTTATCTCACAGCGACTGGTTTCTTCCATCTGTTTCTACTTCAAGTGGCACATCACTGAGCTTCTGAAAAAGTGTGAATTAGTTCTCAGTGACAATAAAGAGGGCATATGATACCTTACTGCTGTGCAGATAGCTTGGATCTGGGGGTCCAACTAGCCATTGTGACCATTACTGTTCATAACAATTAAAAGTGTTCATTTTGGTTTTTTGTTTTGTTTCAGTTTTCCAAGAGTCTGCTATGTGGCTCTGGCTGTTCTGTTAATCCCTGTGTAGACCAGGCTAGCCTGCCTATGCCTCCTTATTGCCAGATGAGGCGGCACAGCATTCTGGAGGCAAAGGCAGGCGGATCTCTGTGACTTCGAGGACAGCCTGGATTATAGAGCAAGTTCTAGGACAGCCAGGGCTACACAGAGAAGCTCTCTCAAAAAGGGTGCTCTTGTTATTGAAATGAGTTCAAAGAATAGTTGACTCTAAACACCTAGAAAAACAGATCACCTTTATACTGTTAGACAATTTGAACTATTTTTATTGTCTCAACTAGGTTCTTCTCTTTGGGGGAAGGTGTGAAACAAATGATTTTCTTGTGCTTTCGTTCAGTTCATGCTTCTCCAAAGAGATGTGAGTTAGGAACTGCCATTGCTACGACACTTAGGACAGCACCACATTCAGCTGAAGGTGTCAGCATGGGAAAGGAAACCTGGGTTGTGTCTGACCAGCCCTTTGCATTTACCACAGAATGTAATATGCTTTCATTGTAGGCAGTGGGACATAAGATGGTAAAACTAACCTTCATCTGGGGCTTTGGAAGGGAGTATTACCAGCTCCAGGTTGTAGGATTGTCCTGGAAACACTAAAAGAGGGCCTCCAAGCGGGTAGTCAGCCTCGGAGTGCAGTGTGGATGCTGCTAGGTTTCCTGATGAGCCCAAGAAACGACACGTGGTGGTGACCATAAGAGCAACAGTTACCTATAAAGAGTCCCACTGTC